TGGGAAGCACGTCTCCCTCCTCGGTGAAATTCCTCAGTCAGTTAGTTATCTCTGTTGCTCCAGAGCCTCCCCTGACATCCTTTTTCTCCCTCTAGCACTCCTCAAGCCTGATGAAAAGCCCTTCTCTCTGCCTCTCTCTGTCTACTGATCCAGGCTGGTCTCCCCACCAGACACAGAATTTTGGGGGGCAGGAACGAGCCATATCTTGCTCCTCTCCATATCCTGTGACTCAGCAAATATTTATGGAATGAACAGAGAAGAACCTCTTCAAAGTACTCTTGGACCCAATGAAGTACGACAATTAATAGAATGTCTAGAAGAAATAATAGCTACTCGGTTTTTAATAACAGAAATCATCATTACTACATGTATAAACTAACTTTTTTTAATTTTTATTGGTGTTCAATTTACCAACATACAGAATAACACCCAGTGCTCATCCCGTCAAGTGTACCCCTCAGTGCCCGTCACCCATTCACCCCCACCCCCCGCCCTCCTCCCCCTCCACCACCCCTAGTTCATTTCCCAGAGTTAGAAGTCTTTATGTTCTGTCTCCCTTTCTGATATTTCTCACACATTTCTTCTCCCTTCCCTTATATTCCCTTTCACTATTATTCATATTCCCCAAATGAATGAGAACATACACTGTTTGTCCTTCTCCGGTTACTGTGGCCAAGTTCAAAAAGGGTGTTGCCTGAGTTCTCCTCTGGGATTTTGATGGAATCTTGTCTCATATTTAGATCTTTCATCCATTTTGAGTTTTTCTTTGTGTATGGTGCAAGAGAGTGGTCCAGTTTCATTCTTCTGCATGTGGATGTCCAATTTTCCCAGCACCATTTATTGAAGAGACTGTCTTTCTTCTAGTGGATCGTCTTTCCTCCTTTATCGTATATTAGTTGACCATAAAGTTCAGGGTCCACTTCTGGGTTCTCTGTTCTGTTCCATTGATCTATATGTCTGTTTTTGTGCCAGGACCACACTGTCTTGATGAACACAGCTTTGTAGTACAACCTGAAATCTGGCATTGTGATGCCCCCAGATATGGTTTTCTTTTTTAAAATTCCCCTGGCTGTTTGGGGTCTTTTCTGATTCCACACAAATCTTAAAATAATTTGTTCTAAGTCTCTGAAGAAAGTCCATGGTATTTTAATAGGGATTGCATTATACGTGTAAATTGCCCTGGGTAACATAAACTAACTTTTTAAGGCTAAGTAGCTGTGTGCTTTTATTAATACATTTCATTCTGTTGTTTGCTTTACAAAGTGCAGGTAAAAATCCTAAATTTGAGTGGCATTCAGCAATTTCTCTTAAGGGTGGAGTGAGCAAATTAAATGCGCTTAGTCCATAACTTGCGTGGGGGATAATGCCCCTTGAAGTGGCTGCAGTACTATTTTAATTCAGCCTTGGAGCCATTATTTCGTGAAGAATGGTTTCCTGAGAGATTATAATGAAAATCACCAGGAATATTTGACATGATAGATAGGTGACAAATAGGTAGATAAGTAGATAGATAGGTAGATCGATAGCCTTCACACATTAAGAATAAAAATACCAAAAAAAAAAAAAGTATAAAAATACCAACCACTAATAGTAATAGCTATGGTATATTAGGCCGTTACTCTATATAGGCATAGAGCTCATTCTTTACATCTGTGTTTTCATGTAATCTCCACACTAACCCGGAGAGATGCTCTCTATCGTCCCAGTGGGACATCAGAAGCTCAGAGGGGCTGAGTGATTGATTTATCAACAGGCACGTACTTAGTGTCAGAGGCCTCTTTTCCTGCTCATAACCATGAAGCAAAACTGCCTCTATCACATGTTTACATTGGTCCTATGTGGTTCAAAGACAAGTGTGTCAAGTGGTCATATGGCATGGGACACAGAAAAAGTGGAGCAGAGCCTCCATTCTCTGCGAGTTGCGAGTTTAAATCCAATGTACACCCAACCTACCCATGTTGGTGGGAGAGATACAAAGCCAATTTATCCTGGATAGAAGCCCACTTGTAGTAGGGAGTAGGAGAAAAATCAATCAAAATGAAAACTGAATAATTCCAGCATAGAACCCACAGCAGCTCCCTGGAGTTAAGTCACCCAACTTTGCACAGAAGCTGGCAAATGACACAGCTAGAAGGACTGGGGGGAAAGTGGTAAGCGTCTGGGGAGAGACCAATAAGGGCCAGCTCTTGTCCCACACCTTCACACATCATTTCATTCATTCTTCCAGGCATCCCTGTGAGGCACTTCCAGTGGTAAGGCTCAGAAAGACTGAGGAACTGCTGCCCAAGGGTCAGGGCAGCCTTCTGAACTCAGGTCTCCATGGTGTTTCCCACAAACATGTGTGGAGTATGCTCTCCGCGCCCCCCCCCCATCCCCCAGTTCCTACAATGCGGTCATTCCTAACGGATTTTTTTTTAAGTTATCCCAAAACTCACTTGATAGTGACTCTGTCTGAGGTTGCAGCAAACCCCAACTCAGCACAGGAGAAACTTGAAATTTCAGGAAATCAGGGAAAAATTAGTAACTTGAGAGCACTGAGACTTATTGAAGGGGAAGACATTAAGAAAAAACCATCTCACTTTATTATTGGAAACCTGAAGGCATGAAAATATGACCTTTTTCTCCTTCCTCTGCTTTTAAAAAGTGACAAAAGTGTTTCATATTCCTGAAAGCTATATTAGCAGAAGTGCCTCCAAATGTGTGCTGCCTCCAGGGAGCTCAAAGTTTTAATCTCTTTTTTTGTTCTTTGGCAAGAAGAAAAGAGATGCTTTTCCAGTAGAAGAGTGTCCATGTGGTTTTGATGCGGGCCGAGCTCTAGCCAAACAAAGTTGTAACCCAGCCAGTTCCTTGAACTGCATCTGCCGTCCAACTCAGAGATGCCCCTTCCCACCTTACTGCTAGGCCTTTCCAAGACATCTGGCAGATACTAAAGAGAACCCTCAGCTGAGAGACCCCAGAGTGTGAGTCCCATCCCTAGGGAGAGGAGATCAGAGTGCTGGAAAGTATACTCCTCCAACTCTTACTTCTTTGAGCCTTCATTTCCATGCCTGTGAAATGGGGAGATTAATACCTATTTCATGGAGCTTTGTGGGGAGCAAAAAAACACTGCACTAGTTTTAACTAGGATTGACTAACATTAACTAGGCACTTAATAAAAGAAGCTATACATATGAGTGCCATTCTCTATAGTCATATTAAAGGAAGGTCACCCAATGAGGGCCAACTTCAGGGTACTACTTCCTTCCACTGCCATGAAGGTGGCAGCCACTGTCAAGAGACTCCATGTCTACAGGGATTGACACAGCTTTGTCACCCTGGGAAGGAGCTACCCATGCCCCACTGCATCTCTGTGGGAAAGAGTGACATGATCACGGAGCAGGCGAATGGTAGAGACTTATTTAACAAGAGAAGCCTGAGCCACTTTAACTGGCAATGTCAGACCAGTGCCCAGGCAGCCTACACCACACCCTCGACTCCTTCTGCAGCAGAACTCACGTGCTGTGCAGTGGGCCCTGCACTAGAGCCAAGCAAGGTCTGGAAACCTAGCCCACACTCCATTCAGCAGGCCAGTCCCCTGGATGGAGGAAGGAAGCACTTCTTTTGAACTTGTATAAAGGTAGGTAGGAGCTAGTGATAGCTATGTGCATAAGTGTTCATAAGACTGACCATCTTGGGGTGTCTGGGTGGCTCAGTGGTCTGCCTTTGGTCGTGATCCCAGGGTCCTGGGATTGAGTCCCACATCAGGCTCCTCACAGGGAGCCTGCTTCTCCCTCTGCCTATGTCTCTGCCCCCCCCCACCTCTCTGAGTCTCTCATGAATAAATAAATAAAACTTCAAAAAAAAAAAAAAAAGACTGACCATTTTGGATTGTAAAAAAGAGCCTGCCCTTCCTTCCTTCTTTCTTTCCTTCTTTCCTTCCTTCCGTCTTCTCTCTCTCCCTTCCTTCCTCCACCAATCCTCTTCAAATCTTCTCTATATTCTAGCTCACTAAGCCACAATCCTGCCCCAAGGGGTTGGGGGTTCTGATGAGGGCACACGCATAGTTGACCCTGATAGGAGAGATGCTGCTGAAAAAAGAGAGGCACTTGCCCAAAGAGGTAAGAAACTGGTCTCAGACCCCACGACTCACTGTCACTGGGCAGAGCCCAAATGAGAACACTGCATAAGAAGGATAAGGACAAGCAGCTAAATGAAGCAGGGACATTAGAAAGGGGGAGGAAGAAGGAAGAAGAGATGAGAGGAGGGAGGAAACTAAAGGAACAACAGAAAAGGATGAGATGGAAGTAAAGGAATGAAGAGGGGCCCAGCTGGGATGAAGCTGGCAACTGTGTTGTGTTGTGTGTGTGTGTATATATACCAGAGGGAGAAACGAGGGGTAGATGCACTCTGCAAGACATTGAGAGGTCACTTTACAGACTGTCAGACCACGGAGTCCTGTTGTCAATGTTGTGAGGTGATTTTTATTACTCCCATACAGATTGGGAACTTGGAACCCAGGAAGATGAAACCCAATAAGCCCCAGGTGATACATAATGGAGCGCATGGTGGCTGCAAAGCCCTACAGGAGAGCTAGAGCTGTCCTTTACTGCTGGTGACTCAGCCCTCCAACGTCCAATGTTTTCTCCCTGCAGCAGGCTACTGGTTCAAGGCAGTAACCTGGCGACCGCAAGTCTTGCCTTCAACAACACTGTTGGGGCTCAAGTGCCCCAAGTGGGTGAGGTTAAGACCCTCGGCGAGGAGTCAAGCTGCCACTGGCACAGTGTCCAGAAAGCATCTGGGGAGCTGTCTGTCCCTCTCAGCCCAGGTACACTGGGCCACCTAGTTATGTTAATTAAGCCAATCCAATCATAGAATTGAATGGACTCAGGTGATGGGCACAGCACTGAGCCTCAAGTTCCTGGTGAAAATCCAATGAAGGCAGAGCTGAACTTGCCATACACCAGAAAGATCATTAGAAGCAGGAGTAAGGGCCAAGGGGAAGCTAAGAGAGAAAATCATACCTGAACATCCATTAAATGAGCCTCCTTCTTAAGCAATACCTCTTGTGCCAGGCAGGGCCCAGGAAGAATCTGGAAGAGAATTAAATAGAAGCTGGGCATCCACCTCTTCCCTCTTTTACCATTTTCCTGCGATTTTGGTTGAGAACCATGTGGCAGGCGTAGGAGATGGGGACACAGGCCATCTACAGGGCTGGGAGCTGGGGTGCAGAGCTGGGCTGGCGGGACCGGGCCCCAGGGTCAAGTCTGGGCTGGGCTCCATCACCAAGGAGCCATTTGGCCTTTGGCATTGTGCTCGCTGAGCCTTAACAAGATGAAATGCTAGACCTGGACCGAAGCCAACTCACAGGGTCGGCTTCCCTTCGGAAGCCCAAGGAGTTAACGGATCTACAGGAACTTGAAAACGTAAAAGCTTCTATCTATGGAGCTTGTCAAAATGAGATTGCGTTTTGCATAAGGAAACAGCAAACAGAGAATATTCGTGAGGTTCCCCAAAAGGGTGGGAGGCGGGCTCGCTCTCTCTCTCCTCCGTCTCCGCCGAGCGAGCGAGCGAGCGTATGGAGCCTCTGTACGTTCCGGGTCACAAAAATGAGGATAACAGGGCAGGGCCTCTGACCCAGAGAGGATCTTCCATAGGGCCACAGGGGGAGCAGCTTAATAATAATTAAGAGTAGATGACTTAATAGAGCATGGAGTGCACTGCCCATTTTGTAGGCCTGAGAGGCAAGTAAAGATGCACGTTCGATAAAGCGTGACGAAGCTGGGAGAGAGAGAACGGGCCCCGGAGGGAGCGCGCGGCGCGGCGCGGGCGCGGGCGCGGCCGCAGGAGGAAAGGCTCCCGGAGGTGGGAGGCCGGCCCGGCGGCCACGGCCCTCCCGGACGCGCCGCCATCCTCCCGGCAGCAAGGGGAAGCCCGGGGGCAGTCAGGCGGAGCCTTACAGAGACACCGCGGGCGGCCAGCAAGGAAGAGAGCAGCCGGGAGAAGGGGCAGCGGGAAACGCGACTTTGGCTCTAAGCCAACAACGGGCGGCGCCCGGGGCCCGAGCCCCGCGCGGGGAGGTCTGCGGGGCCGGCGGCCAGGAGGCGCGCGGACCGGGGCACTGCGGGGCGCCGCCGCCGGGTGGGGCGGGGCTTCGGGCGGCGCGGCGGGCGCGCGCATGCGCGGGGGGGGGGCGTGCGCGTGTGTGCGTGCGCGTGTGTGCGCGTGTGTGCGTGCGCGTGCGCGCAGCGCCAGCCCCGGCCGGCGAGCCTGACAAAGGCGCGGGCGCCCGGCGGCCCCGGGGCGGCGGAGGGGGCGCCGCGAGGCGGGGGGGGGGTGGGGGGGGGCGGGACGCCGCCAGCGCCGCGCGGAGCCCCACACCCGCGGAGACAAAGCCATCTCCGAAACAAAAGTGAGAGCCGTGGCCGGGGGACGCTAGATATCGGCGAGCCGGGGTGAACGCAGGGGAGGGGTCCAGCCGGGGAGGCCCAGCGGCCGCTCTAGGGCGGCGTCCTTTGCCCCCGCCCGCCCCCGAGGGACGGTGAATCCCCGGCCCGAAGAGACCTGGCGGCGAGAGCAGCGGCCCGCCCGCGGCGTCCCGGCTGGCGCAGGCGGGGCCGCGCGGTGTCGCCCCCGAGACGGCCACCGGCGCCCCGGGCGCAGACAGCGGGGCCGCTGCCCGCCGCGGAAGCCCCTGCCTTTCCCCCAAAGCTTCCTGCCCGGCCGGGATGGGACTCCTGGCTACTGCTGCCCGACGGTACCGCCCGGCGCACCCCCTCTCCCCCCCCCGGCGGCTCTCAGCAGGCCGCCTCTCAGCGCCACCCGCACCCCCACCCCCACCCGAGAAGCCGCAGCACCCCGCGGCCAGGCCCTATTGCAGTCACCCATAAATGCAAAGGCGAGAAGCCACCAATACCTGTTTGAGGAGATGGCATTTTAATTAGCACACTCCAGCTGCCATAAACCCCCGGCCCTGTCCCACCTCTCCTCCCCCTCCCACTGCCCTCTCCCAACCTCCCCGCTCACCCCCATCTATGTAAAAAAGCCGTAAAGCCTTTCTCCAATCGCCTTCTTGGAGTTTATGCAACCCGCAGAACACAGGTTGATTGGAAAGGTCTCTCTCCTGGATAACAACAATTCAATGTGCCTTGACATTTTAATAGCCTGCCGTCCTGGTGAACACAATCGAGCAAGGCAGTGAAGCAAAAATCATTAGGTAAGCAAGATAATCTAAGCGGAATCTGCTGCCTGCACTCTCACATCTGGGGGCAGGTCGCGCAGCTGGGGCGGCCCCGCAAAGCCGGGCTCTCCCTGCCCTGCAGCGCCTTTGTATGTGTGCTCGGATATATACACTTATATACACTCGTTCGGTCGGAGACGCACAGGTTTGCGACGGGTTTCAGGAGATAAACACCCTGAGGCAAGGACACTCATTGAAGCCCCGATATGAAATAGCTTGAGAGTGTACGAATTTAGGCTGAACCAAAAGACCTGCCATCCCATCTAACAACCACCAAATTAAACTTAACTGCTATCAGCTCAGGCTTCGATATTGGTTGGGAGCCCTAACACCAACCATTTAGAAACCTATATTTCCAAAATACATTTGTATTTGTTTATATGAAGATTCTGAATCCAGTGCCTGCCATGGGTATATGGCTACATATGTTTAAATTACATATTTATGTGTGTGTGTATATATATATATATGTGTATATATATATATATTATGTGTGTATATATATATTATGTGTGTATATATATATATACACACATGCACATATATATACATAAATACATATACTACACACAATATAAAAACATTTATGCTCACTGTATGCCAGGTACCATTATAGATGTATCATGTCTGCTAACTCATGTAATCCTTAAAACAACATAGTACATTATTCTCCCCACTTTATAGACAAGGTAACTGAGGCACAAAGAGTTCAAGCAACTTGTCCAAAGTCATCCTCCAGGAAGTGGTGGGGCCAGGACTTGAACGCAGGAAGTCTGCCTCTTGTATCCAGGCTGTCGTCCACTCAGCCATGCTGTCTCGTAAAAAGAAGTCAAGTCACACAAATAATGTTACATGTCTTTAAAAGGTCAGTAATGCTTTCGTGAATGTGTATATTGACACGCACACACAACACACATTTATGTGGATCCTCCAAAGGTGCAAAACAGTGTGACTTCCTTTGGTACAAGCACCTGCCATATTCACGAGTTGAGTATGTTGTGAGTTCCAAGATCACGTGTTAGTAGTGAGGCTATAACAATTAATTAGACACAAATGCCACCCTCAGGTAGCTCATAGCCTATGGGGAAGTCAGATCAGCAAACAGAGGTTGGATCTTGGGGGTGAGAAGCTAGAGACTGACAAAGGGCAGCAGAAGTCAAGAGGATCCCCCTCTCACCCTGCCTCACACATCCCCTTCCCAGAATCTCCTTGGGAGGCCATATACCTATTCCTATGAGGTTGTTACGCTCAAAAAATGTGGAGAGCTCCAACTGGGAATCGCCTTCAAGACCATTTTATAAGCTACCCAAGAAAATGAGTCTTGGTATTTGATAATTACACATAGCATGCACACACACACACACACACACACACACACACACCTTTCTTAGGAGATAGGAGTGACATCACAGAGCCTAGAGGACCAACAGATGACAGAAAATTCTCCTGTTGGATTCCAACCCGCCCCATTCGCCCATGCTCCTCCCTCTCTCCCTGCATGGAAGTCCAGCAGAGATCTGTTTCCCTGGGTGCTGACTTGGCAAGCTATTCGCTTTATGAATATGACCCTCAGAGGGGAGAGCCCCTCTCAGCAGCCCCCGAACTATGTTATCACCATTATTAAAGGAGCTTAAAGAGGAGCTGGGAGGACGAGACACCACTGGAATTGCAGCCTGATTGTGATTGATGTGTTCCTATTAGCGCCTCAGTGTTATCTCTCTGGATGGCAAGAACAGCCAGTGGCTTGTAACACAACAGATTACCTGAGTTCTCAGCCTTAGAAGGATGTTTAAATAAAATATAGTCCCTCTTAGCAAGAGGCTCATTTTCTCCACGAGGCTCCCAGACTATTTCATGTCAGCTCTGATTCGCTGCGACTCTCCTCAGTAAACATGTCTTATCATTAATAATTCTTTACAAGCACAATCTCCAAGAGTCCTCTCTCTCTCTCTCTCTCTTTCTCTAGGTGGCTGGACTCAGACACATCACGCTCCAGTTTGGGTTCCAAGGTGCTTCTCTCTGGATTTTCACCTGCCTTGCCAAAAATGATTGATTACGCCGGGCCGACTGGGTGTCCGGCAATACCCAACAAATGACTTTGGCCCCTAACAGCAGGCCTTGGCCAGATAGAAATCAATATTTCACCATTAAAATCTATCAAAGAAGAGTTAAGGCACCATCTGTCCCTGCCGCCTCTCTATGGTGTGTGAACATTAAATCCGACACTTGTACTACATGGGTAATCAATATATAGTGGTTCACAGATCATTTGTGGTTCCCTTTTAGCAGTGATGGATGTCTGGAATCGTTGTGATTCATTTTGTCAGACCATTAAACAAGATTCTGTCCAGTTCCTTCCTGATTTCATTTAGAGGATCATTCTTCACAGTTCATAAGAGGGAAACGGTTTTACCAATCTGCTTCTATTTCAATAAGTCACTTTATAGAGATTTTGTGTCCTCCAGACTGTAAAAATTCTGGAGAGATAGTACAAACAGACCTCTAAAACTATTCACTGCATGACATATGCATAAAGTGTGAAGAGAGGAATGTAAATATGTTTACCTCTTTATCTGCAAATGTTGGTTTTAACCCCCTCCTGGCTGGAGTGCTGGCCTGTGGGGCACTCCCAGAACAGTGCCTGCCACAGCAGGAGGAGGGTGCACTGGTGACCAGGGACCGATTCTTAGAGGCAGGGGGAACCTCCTGATCCCTCAGTGCCATGGTTAAAAGTAAATGGGAATGGCTTTTCCAGAGGCTGCATTTCAGACCTCTGTTTCTACAGTCGAGATAATCTTGCTTCTCACCCAAAAGGTTGGCAAATGCCTCTCGGTACTCTGGTGCAGCATGCCAACCCAAGAGAAGAAACGGTGACTGTGCCCTTGAGGGCGGGCTATGGATGAGCATAAGGACACGCATGATCATAACAGCTGCCATTTGTGGAGCATCAACCTGTGCCAGGCGCAAAATATGCCCCAGTCTCACCCTTGACAATTTTACAAGATAGGTACTCTTCTCCCCACTTTCCAGTGGGGAAACTGAGGCTCGGACAAGTTGAATAACCTGCCTAAGATTACCCTACCCAGGGAACTGGAGGGTCACGACCCAGCCCCAGACCTGTCTGACACCCAAGAGCCCACGTGACTGTGGCCAGCTCTTGGGTGTTGGCCATCACTCCACAAATGGTTTTGTTTCAAGCCAAGTGAATTACTTTCAATCCTCCTGGGCTATATACTTACTCCAACCAATCAGGGTACTGTTAGGAAATAGAACTTTTTTATTATTATTTTAAGTAATTCTGCAACAGGATCACTAACTAATGCACTCCAAAGCGAAACAATTTATTTTAAACTGTTTTCCTGTTTTGGATTATTGGATAATTATATCACTTTGGCTGATATAAGTACAGATAAGCAGATGTTGATTTAAATATTAGTACAGACACACATATGTATATATACAGATATGTACACATATATGCACATATATTTGATATGATTATAAATCATAATATATATATATATATTATTTGAAAGACTCTAGAGATGAAGTAGTTTTTCCTTCTTTCCTTTCCTTTTAAAATTTCCTTTAAAGTAACTGAGTCTTGGAAAGAATAAAATCTGACCTGGAGTGAGAATCTTACTTCCTGATTTCCAAGTTACAACACTGTACTGAAAGACTGTAAGTGATGGAGTGTTATTCAATTACAATTTGGGTGGGGGGGTGATATATTTGTTGAGGGGACAATTGGGAGAGACTTGTACTGTGTTGCAGCCAAGCAAGCGGGAAAATCTCCAGGGCATTTTTACTTCCACACCAATTCACTAACCGCAATACCTGCCGCAAGGTAAGCATTCCTTCTGCTAACAGCACAAGGTAAGGCTGGTCGGGCCACTTCAGACCCAAGGCCATCAGGCCAGACCCATGCTAGACAACAACACCGGGGAAATTACAGACAAGGCACTTTGAGGAGGTGTAGGGCATGACGGAAAGAGGAGCCTTGGGGTCAGGCTTCAGAAAGACTAGGCAAGAATCCATCTGTGCTGCTAATTAACTGTGCCACCTCAGACGAGTACCTAACCTCTCCAAGTATCAGTTTCCTCATCTAAGAGTGAGGAAGCACAAGCACTTCACCTCGTGGGGCAATGGCAAGGACTCAGTGACACAATGCAAATTTTTGCACAAGGCTTAGCCCTTGTGAGCTGGCATCCTTTCATCCCTGTCTTCTTCCTTCTCTTCTTCCCCATCGTTACTCCATACATCTGTATTCCACTATATTTTAGCCTGCATAAAAACTTAGAATGGCATCTGCCACATAAGAATTATCAAATTCTTCTCAATTTCAGAAACATAAGACCTCAGAATTTCAAAAGAGAATTGAGAGGTCTTTGGTTCACCTGTTGACTCAGTGCAGGAGCCATTTTCACCACTTGCCTGACAGTTTATTTTCAAGAATGAGGAGCTCAAGATGTCGCAAGGAAGTCTGCCTCACTGCTGGACAGTCTTTTTTTTTATTTTTACATATTTATGATAGTCACAGAGAGAGAGAAAGAGGCAGAGACACAGGCAGAGGGAGAAGCAGGCTCCATGCACCGGGAGCCCGACATGGGATTCGATCCCGGGTCTCCAGGATCGCGCCCTGGGCCAAAGGCAGGCGCCAAACCGCTGCGCCACCCAGGGATCCCCTCAAAATAACTGGACAGTCTTTTAACAAAAAATGTCCTCCCTAACCTGCTTCCATCTAAATCCCGTCCATTAGTCCCAGTAATAATTCCAATCCATAACCACCTCATGTTCCGTATAATAATTTAATAGAATGAAAAGAAATGTTCCTTTTAATTTGGGTTAAAACTACTTTTTGAAGTACTTTGATTATTAAACTAAAATCCAAGATCTTTGTGACTGCCAAGGTGGGCTTTATGCACGTCTTTTGATGTCAGCTCTGAGCACATCCCAGCTCATATTGAGCGAAATGAAAAATTCTTTATTTTATTCATGTTCTTTTATGAATCCTCCTTGGTCCTTGTCATTTTCTGGGTTTTCTCTGTCTCTGAAGTTCCATTCTTGAGTGTGAAACCCAGAACTGCACAGAACACTTCGGATTCAATGTTATACTTCAGGTTTTCCCATCCATTTCTTCCTTTCTTTTTCCTTCCTCCTAACCACTTTCCCCCCATCTACCTGTCTTTCCATCCACCCATCCTTCCATCACAAATATACTAGTCAAAAGCAGAATGCCAGGGTCTGAACAATGTCCCTTAACAATGGAATGCAATAAACCCTACCCCTAACAGCAACGCCAGCCCCAGAATTGGTTGAAGCTGCTGTTCCCTGCCACCACCACCACCAATCCCAGATATCAGCATAAGCCCCAGGTGGGCAGGCTAAAATCCATGCCAAGGCCTCAGGGTATGTCATTGTCCTTCAGCTGTTCCTCAAGGTAGGTCATTGTCTCTCAACTCCAAAATCACATAATTAAATTCAATAATTCAATACTGAGCATTTGTAAGAAAGCCACACTGAGTTCTCACAGCCTGTCCAGGTCATTCAAGTCAGAACAGTCATCACGTAGGTCACCAATGCTTTGCTCTGCCCAGTGGCTCAGTCCTATGATTCCTCACGACATACTGAGGTTAATCCTATGGGCCCCACTCAGCTTCCACTCCTTGCTAATGTGTCATGTCCCAAATGTTCCTATCTTGGATGCCTGTTTTTTGCTGCTGGGTTCTCTCTAGGTGTGCACACCTCTGCATCCAGCATCTCCCACCAAACTTGAGCATATGCTAATTCCTTCTTTTAAGTGTGGCTGTCTTAGGAAGATGGATCTCTGCACTGGTTCTTTTAAAAAGTCAGATATGGGGATCCCTGGGTGGTTCAGCGGTTTGACGCCTGCTTTCATGCCCAGGGCCTGATCCTGGAGACCGGGGATTGAGTCCCACATCGGGCTCCCTGCATGGAGCCTGCTTCTCCTTCTGCCTGTGTCTCTGCCTCTCTCTCTGTGTCTCTCATGAATAAATAAATAAAATCTTTTAAAAAAAGAAATGTTAAAAAAGTAAAAAATAAAAAAAAAAATAAAAAGATCTGTACACATCCACTCAGGCAAAATTGCACAAATGCATCCTTGACCGGGGGTGGGGGGTGAGGGGGTGAAGCCATACTCAGTGAGAGGCCAGCCAGACCCAAGCCCACCCGCCTGGCACATACCTGCACCCATCAGATGTGCAGTGGTAGGTGAGGATGCAGCCATCTGCACAGTCGGACGTTTGAAAATCACTAACTCCCGCTCTGTGGGGTTAAGTGATAGCAGAACAAATTCTGCTGGAAAAGGTCATGTGTTCTTGAAGATTTCCAAGAATTCCAGATATTCTCCTATTCTTTGTCCAGGGGTAAAACAATATATACATTCAAGATTTTTTTCCCTGGAACTAACTTCAGCCCATCTTGCTCTAATATAAACCCATTCTCTGGGCTTAAGATTTTTGCCTTTTCATAAGCTATTCTCCTTCCTAATCATGGAAAGATTACTAAATTGCAAACCTACCACATGCCTGGCATTGTATAGGTCATTTTAAGACACGGTTTCATCGTGGCAACTTTATGCAAGATAGGTTTATTTTCCCTATTTTTAGAGGAGAAACTGAGTCTTTAGGGGATTTAGTAATTCACATGATACCATGCTGCTAATAAATGACAGACTGTCGTTGAAACCCAAGCCGGACTTCCCAGCCAGGGCTACCAAACACCAGGGTATTCTTCTATCTAAAATATTCACCTTACAGCTATAATGAGTTTACAAAGAGTTCTGAAAGCAGAAGCTAGCCCCAATTAGCAACTTTTATAGCTATTAAATAATCTGTTTAACTTACCCTCCAAATAATGTCCTGCTATCTAAATAAATATCAATGATATTTTTTCTAACTTTCAACTCCTCATCAAAGGAGCCAGCCTACCTTTAAGACCCTGTGCAGAGGCACCTGGGTGGCTCAGTAGTTGAGCATCTGCCTTCAGCTCAGGGCGTGATTCTGGAGTCCAGGGATCGAGTCCCGCATTGGGCTTCTCCCTCTGCCTACGTCTATGCTTCTCTGTGTATGTGTGTCTCTCATGAATAGATAAATAAAATCTTAAAAAAAAAAAAAAGATGGGGGTGCCAGCCAGCCTTTAAGACCA